ACTTCACATTCCAGGATGTCTGGCTCTAGGTGAGTGATCACAGCATTGTGATTATCTGGGTCATGAAGATCTTTTTTGTACAGGTCTTCTGTGTACTCTTGCCACCTCTTCTTAATATTTTTTGCTTCTGTTAGGTCCATAGCATTTCTGTCCTTTATCGAACCCATCTTTGCATAAAATGTTCCCTTGGTATCTCTAATTTTCATGAAGTCATCTCTAGTCTTTCCCTTTCTGTTGTTTTCCTCTATTTCTTTGTTGTTCACTGAGGAAGTCTTTCTTATCTCTCCTTGCTATTCTTTGGAACTTTGCATTCAAATGGGAATATCTTTCCTTTACTCCTTTGCTTTTTGCTTCTCTTCTTTTCACAGCTATTTATAAGGCCTCCTCAGGCAACCATTTTGCCTTTGTGCATTTCTTTTCCATGGGGATGGTCTTGATCTCTATCTCTTGTACAACGTCACGAACCTCCATCCATAGTTCATCAGGCACTCTGTCTATCAGATCTAGTCCCTTAAATCTATTTGTCACTTCCACTGTATAGTCATAAGGGATTTGATTTAGGTCATACTTGAATGGTCTACTGGGTTTCCCTTCTTTCTTCAGTTTAAGTCTGAATTTGGCAATAAGGAGTTCATGATCTGAGCCACAGTCAGCTCCTGGTCTTGTTTTTGCTGACTGGATAGAGCTTCTCCATCTTTGGCTGCAAAGAATATAATCAGTCTGAGTTTGTCATTGACCATTTGGTGAGGTCCATGTGTAGATTCTTCTCTTGTGTTGTTGGAATACCAGTGCGTTCTCTTAGCAAAACTCTATTGGCCTTTGCCCTGCTTGATTCTGTACTCCAAGGCCAAATTTGCCAGTTACTCCAGTTATCTCTTGACTTCCTATTTTTGCATTCCTGTCCCCTATGATGAAAAGGACATCATTTTGGGGTGTTAGTCGTAGAAGGTCTTGTAGGTCTTCATAGAACCATTCAGTTTCAGGCTCTTCAGCACTACTGGTTGGGGCACAGACTTGGATTACTGTGATACTGAATGGTTGCCTTGGAACGAACAGAGATCATTCTATCGTTTTTGTGATTGCATCCAAGTACTGCATTTCAGACTCCTTTGTTGACTATGAGGGTTACTCCAATTTCTTATAAGGGATTCTTGCCCGCAGTAGTAGATACGATGGTCATCTGAATTAAAATAGCCCATTCCAGTCCATTTAATTTCACTGATTCCTAAAATGTCAATGTTCACTCTTGCCATCTCCTGTTTGGCTGCCAAATGGCCTCAATTCACAGAACTAACATTCCAGATTCCTGTGCAATATTGCTTTTTACAGCATCAGACTTGACTTCCATCACCAGTTACATCCACAACTGGGTGTTTTGTTGGTGTTTTTTTTTTTTTTTTTTGCTTTGGCTCTGTCTTTTCATTATTTCTCCCCTCTTCTCCATTAGCATATGGGGCACCTACCAACCTGGGGAGTTCACCTTTCAGTGTCCTGTCTTGTTGCCTTTTCATAATGTTCATGGTGTTCTCAAGGCAAGAACACTGAAGTGGTTTGCCATTCCCTTCTCCAGTGGACCATGTTTTGTCAGAGGTCTCCACCATGACCCACCCGTCTTGGGTGGCCCTACTATGCATGGCTCATAGTTTCACTGAGTTAGACAAGGCTGTGGTCCATGTGATCAGTTTGATTAGTTT